CTAGACCTCCACCTTTTAGTTCACAGGTTTCTCATTATGGCCCACCGCCTCAGATACCGGGCGGTAATAATAACATCTCTTCACGAACATTTTCACCATCAATATCAAATAACGCTCAACTTGCGAAAGCCAGTGCTGCTACTGCAACTCCCATTATTCAGGCGGCACCTCAAGTTAGGAATCTTCAAAAAGAACTAACCACCCTTATACCGACTGCTCTACTTAGAAAGAGAGTAGCCGCTAGCAAACCTAAAGTAGCAATACCCGTAGTTAATGCTGCACCTAAGATTGATGATGGATTAATAAGTGAATTATCGACCGCTACACCTACTAAAAGGTCTGCACCTACAACAATACATTTATTACAAGAACAAAAGTCATCAGAAGTAGATACCTCACAATCAAACGGGGGAATGATATCAAATAGCGCGCCACCACCTACAAAGAAAGCAAAGAAGAAGAAAGCTGATGAATATGAGAAGTTTATGGCAGAAATGCAGGATTTATTGTAAAAGTTATATCTATATTTTATTATTTAATAAAAAAGGACTCTGGATTGTTTATAGTTATTATTATTATTATTATTATTATTATTATTATTTTTGGTAGACTTTAATACAAAAAAAATTTTCTACCAATCATTCAGTTATAGACTTATTTTCGATCTTTTAATATAATAAATGTTAATACAATAATTTTGATGCGTTCGATTTAATGAGTTATCTACTAGACAATTTTTCTTAGATTAGAATTGATCTCTACAATTATGCGCATGGAACTTCTTAGTGTAAAAAAAGAAAGGTGCATAAAGGAGATTAGGTAAAATCTTGATATAACGAATTTATTACAACAGATTTGGATGACGAGAATGATCAACCGAAATTTAATTTATGCACAGAGGTTTGATTTTCCAAAGAAAATACTTTAGAAATTTAGAAATTTCTGTAGTATCGTCTCTAATTGAAAAGATGATGCTGTACATGATGCAACGTTTAATCTAACTATTAGTTTACCGCCCGAATTTCAAGTGAAGACCTGGAAAATGGATATATATTTCTTGGACCAAATTATCCAGCGATTTTGGGTTAGATAACGGTAAGTATTTTAATAATAACCTAGTTATTAATACTTAATAACAACATTAATATTTCATCGGTTAAAAGTATTTTTTATCAAAAGCATCTTAAAATTGGTCACAGTTCTTCAAATTCCCTCTATTGAAATTTAAAAAATAAAAACAAGGCAGTAATGTTAGTAGTACTTATTTTGATTAAGATTCAAGTGAATCATAGGTTTGTTGAATATAAATCTTTCTTTCGTAGTAATTGTCATTAATATATTTTCCTTCATAGTAAGTATAAAGTTCTTTGAATTAGTAATTTCCCAAATTATTTGTTGTAACTTTTATATAATTAGTGAACTAAATAAATATTGAATTTAACAAATTTACCAAAGTATTTGTTCATATGATATGTCTTCATTTGAGTCAATCAAATGAGTATTAATAATTTAATTATTCCAGTAATAATTAGAATATAAAAATCTCAAGATTTTAAGGATCCGAGAATTTGCTCAACATTTCTTTTAGAGTTTAGGTTTGAAGTTATTAACAAAGGTTTTGATACAATTAGACATAAAAACTTACATAGAAATTTCGTATCTATAATTGTTAGACGTAGAAGGTTCATTGGGTTATTATTTAAGATAAAAAGAATATTATTATATTCATTATACAAATAAGAATAAGATAGTATTTTAAGAGGTAAATGTTTAACAGACTGATAGTTGAATAAAAGCATAAGTGAAATGTTTTTAGTTTTGCAACTTTTCATGAATTGTTTTGATATAATTAGAAGATGGTTTCAATTACAATGTTATATTATCAGCAGGATGATATTCATTCCAAATGATATACTCTTGCTTACTGTCTGAAGATGCTCTGTTTCTTTAAGAAATTCCAATACAACCACTTTAGTGCTAAAACAATGTCTCAAGTAAATTTGACACTTTGGTGGAATTAATTTCTTGTGCTATAAATAATATCAATCAGAAATTTAAAAGTGATGACATTTGGCTATAGCCACGGCCAAAATTAATTAGAGGTCAGGTTCCAGGAATTTTTTTTTTAAAAAAATTTTAACTTTTGATATTAGATAAAATGCAATAAGTTCTTGATTTTAATCAAAAAGTTCTCGGAACCTGATTTAACAACGACCACCCTTATCTTGGTAGCCGATTTATTTTATGGTAATATCCTACCCTAGCCCACCTAACCCACATTAACGAATATGTGAAAAAATTCAAAAGTTCTCGACGCGGAGAAATGATACAGGATAAAAGATAAGCAAGTAATTGAATGTTCAGACGTCAGTTTTGCAATAAATTAAATATCCCAAAAGTCGAAAGTACAAAAATTTAATAGTTAATTTTATCATTTCTCTAACGATAGAATTGGTAGTTTAAATGTATCACGCGTCAATTTATAAATGTAACAGCATTTTTTTGATTTATGCAAAATTAATAAATAATTGTTTTTAAAGATATTCTTCCAAGTTTTGAAAATTTTCAAATAATAGTTATTTTTTCATATATTTATATTTTGGCCGGCCAAAACTTATGCCCTAATTTGACCATTTGGCCATGGCAAAAATGGCAAAATAGCAAACCCATTTCGCGCGTGTATTTAAGAATACTTCACCCTTCTGTTGAGCCCAAACTTATTCACACCACTTGTGGATTCGGATACTTTACGAAATGTTCTACATTATAATTACTGCATTATACACAATAAATTTAATAAATATTCTTCGCATAATAAAGGTTATTGCTATGCAGTTACTATTATTGAAAATTTCAAATGAATATCAATTCTATAACATCAATATTACGATGAACGTTGGAATAGTCTCGCGAGTCATTTGTGATTTAAATGGTTATGATCTTATCATTCTGTTATGAGTGAAAATATTTTCTTAATGCATTAATTCATTTAAAAAGCTTGATTTCTCGAAGCATCATTAAAAACGATGTTTGAAGATCGATTTTCATTGATATTATTATCCTTTTATTTAAAGATTTCTGTGTCTGACATATTTGTTATTCAACATTGTTTCCATATTGTCCATCGAGCACCAATGACGATAGACTCTATACCGACCGATCGATCAATCAGCTAAATTATCGACCGTCCTGTAAATTTCGTAATTTTGAAATTAGCTGTAATTAACCGGTTCCAAATGTTGATTTTCAAGCCACATACGGATCTTCGGATCCGAATGTATATCTCCAAAACATAGAATGCGTTATTTACATCAGAAACAATCATTGCGCCTTACGGTTGAACCATATACAGTATTTTGATAATGATAATTATTTTTACTTGGTATTACAAATAGATCACTGATACCAGATCATCTTGATAATCGGTTAACCGCTTAAATTAACTGTTTTTGAAACGTAATGTCAAGCCCAAAATTGTGGAGGATATATTTAGATCTAGACCTGACCTGTTAAAAAAAATTAAATGGAGGCTTATTGTATAACAAAAAAAAAAAATAATAATCCACGGGATATATGCATATTGAGTAATGGTTAAATGAAATGTTTTTTTTAGCGAAATTAAAAAAATTATGAGGGTTGATTATATATCAAAGACTCCCAATATTAATTAATGAGTCAAAAAAATGTACCACTTATACTCGAGCAAATTCTCTTTACCGCGTTTTACATCGATCTTCGACTTTACCTTAGATATCCGATTGCAGTTACCTGTTGGCCGGGTTAACCATTTTTAACTATTAACCGGGTTTCTAAAGCCACATGCGTATCTCGGGATCTCCAAAACACGGAATGCGTCATATCCATCATCCGACTAATTTTTTTTGTAGTGTTTAATCTATTGAGTGGAATTTTCTGTAGTTTTACATCAACAGTAAATACTGTAATATGAAAAGAAGAGTCCAGAAGTGTACGGGTACGTACAGAAAAATACGTCGGATCATTTGGAAAAATGTGGTTAGGTTTTGTCACTTTCGGATGATTTCCAGAGGTTTTTTCAGATTACCCTACACTTTAAATGTCATTTGCCAGAGGACTCGGAAAACAAAAAAAAAAAAACTAAAGTGGAGGAATTAATTAAAGAGAATTGATCGGACACAATTTAAACACAGAAATTTCAATTCACTTCATTGAGATAACTTATACACCAATGTTACTGTATTGCGTTTTCTAGAGCGTTGCGCAGCAATTCTTTGCAAGGAAATCCATGTGGGTCGACTTCATTCATTTCAACCATACATCAATGTTTGAACGCGGAAGTTTGGATTCTTCGGATTAAACCTTACGAGATTGAAATTGTCCTTGAGTATGCGGTATGGTTCAATGTTGTTCCATCAAATGATGGCTAAAATTCCACAAGTGCAATCTTTCAGCAACAAGGCATAAATATTAATATTGAAAATTTATGAATTTCTATTGATTATATTGTATCGCGCATTTAAACCAATTTTTCTTTCCTTTTTTTCAGAAATTCGATTTATTATGTTTAATAAATGAGTAAATGAGAAATCTCATCATGAATTGATCTCAATATATACGGAAATCTTTTAACGACGACCCGCGAATGATTGGAATCAATTTTACGAGAATTTCAATTATAGAAATTTTTTTTTTTTTTTATAAAAAAAATGAATCCTAACTTTATTTCAAGATAAAACTATAAAAAAATATATATATATATATATATACTAATCGCCAAATAAATTTATTCGACCCTAATAACTTTTCTATCCTTTTTTTTTTAATAATAATTTGTAGATACTCTTCTTGTCATTTATTGCTAAATGTAGTAATTTACTTACGATATTTCTTGTTAAACTTAATGTAGAAGAAATTAATGTAAGTAATGGAATAACGCCATAATTTACAGTCCTAAGCATATAAAGAATCTAAACGTATGGGGAGGGAAGAAGGTTATTAGTAACCCCAAAAGAATTCTTATTTTATTTTATAAGAAGAGAACTTACTTGAATTATTAATTGAGGAATATCTTCAACGAAAATATTTAAAAAAGCACCAAAAACCATTCTTGTTTCAGCATCCGAACTAAAAGGAGCTCTGTATGATTCAGGAAGACCTTCTAAGGTTAAAACACTCATGACTTCAATATCAGCACAAGATAAGGTAGCAAATATACTTGCTAATACTATATTACTTTGAAGCCAACTGTTAAAATCTTGAACTTTATCCTTTTCTTTTTCAGTTTCATCTGCAGCAGCAGTTTCAATAGCTTTTTCTGCAGCTTTTTTTTCTTTTTCCTTTTTTTCCTTTTCTTCCTTTTCTGCTTTTGCCTTTTCCTTTGCGTTGTTAATTTCGTTTTTTATAATAAGGTAAGCAAAAAATCCGTTAAACAGAAGTGGAAATGTTGTAAAAATAATGCTGTTTCGGAAAGAATTATAAATTAGAAAAATTGAATCAAAAGTAAATTACAAAGGTAAAGTCGTCATACCTTGGAATAAAAAGAGATTTAACGTTTCTGGCGTTTGTAAACACGAAAAGGATATCCACGACAAGATCGAAAATACAGACGCCAAGTTTGAAACTAATTGATAATCCAAGTTTTAACACATCAGTTTTCTAATATATATATATATTTATTTATTTATTTTAAAAAAAAAAAATCATTAATATAATAAATAAATGAAAATTTAAAAACGAGGGCACACGTCATACTATACCTTGTCGTCGTTTTCTGAATCTTTATTGGCATCCTTTTTTTGAGTGAATAAGAAGAATGAAGGTCCAATGACCAACCCAACCAAAAACACACTTAACAATCCATATTTATATTGTTCCCATAAATTTGCTATTTTGTCGAGCGACAAAAAAAAGGAGAAAAAAATTTTTTTAAGAATTTTTTTTGAAAAGAGCCAGCATTCGCAACATGTTTACTTACTAGCAACTTTACTATCAAAAGTATCATCCAAATAATTGGTAAATTTGCCTTGACCAATTGGAGTATATGTTTTATTTTTAACCAACGTACGAATATCATTGAAAACAATTCCTACACCTTGTTCGGAATCTACATGTTTAATCACAATATTTATTAAATATAGATAAGAATGATTATCCACATCAGAATCACGTTCAACGTTCTTGTTTGAGTCAAGACGGTCGACACTTATAGGAACAGCATCGGCCAATTCTTTTAACAAAGAATTGAAAAAATCCGATCGATTTCCAGCAGAAAAATATTCTTCATAGGCTTTTGTACCTTCATCAGTTAGACGAAACTGATAAGAGGTTGTAGGATGAAAACGCTCATCATGATCAGTTCTTTCGGTGGGATAAACTTTCCAAACTTCTTCTTTTATGCCCAATAAAGGTTCTCTATAAGCTTTAATTTTAACAAAATTATTATCCATCTTAATATAATATTCCATGTCCGGTACACTAAAAGTACAAGGGTATACGTGTACGACTACCGTTCTACTATCGTTTTCCAAGAAGCAACCTTCGCCGGGAATTATTTGACGTAACCATGATTGACCGAATTCCATTCGATAAATTTCAATATTGCCGTCGGATAATTCTACCTGATCATAAAAATTAATCACTATATCATTTCCTGGAATGACAGTCCCTCCAATCATTGGCGAACTTGATTCAATGTTTGCATTAGAATAATCATTTTCCCTAACAAGCATTTTAGGCAAATTGTACATCGTGAATGACCAGCTATTGCCGTTGTCAGGTTCAAGATCCGCTATCATCAAAGTATTATTTGGTAATACCGAATAAACAACATTTGGATTAGACGGATGAGGTTCTTCCAAGCCCCATTGTTGAAACGATGCCGTATCATTATTAAGTAAAAAACCATAAACTAGACTACCCTTAGAACCTTTAACTGTAATTTTATTTGTTATCAGATATCCACCAAATGGTAAACTATTTACTTCCCAAACTTTGTTATAAGTAACACCCGAAGGAATTAAATAATTTATAATTGAAAAGGAGAAAACTGAACCAGAAGATAAGAAAGCGATTTTTGCAACGAACCTATTGTTGTCTTGATTTTTTACGGTTAAGACACATACTTGACCAACTCCGACGTTTGCAATACTACAATATAATGATTCAATAATTAAATTTGGTATAGGTGATTGATAAAGTAATAAAGGTTCGATTTGCGGTTCATTATATCTTATAGGTATAGCGAAGACTTGAACTTGTGGTTTCATCAGTGCTTGTGTGCTATTTTCAAGTGGTTGTGTTGTTTCGGCTGTTATGACCTTTCCAGTCGTATTTGCATATACGATAGCATAACCCTCATCAACTGTAGAAATAACGTTAACAGCTAAACTTGTATAATCGAGAAATTCAATCGTTCCTTGAGTTAAACTTGTTATCTTTCCGTCAGGTCCTACATTAAATTGTCGCCATTCCGCATTTGGTGAACCTTTAATGGCATTGAGTCTGATAAATCCTTTCTCCCTATTAACATTTAATGTTATATAAGTATTTATAATAAGCATGTGAGTGACTGTTGTAAATGAGACCCCAAATCGAATTCTATCTAAAATGTTGCCATTATAATCAATTATCATTCCCCAATCTTCATACGTATCGTAATCATCGCTATTTGTTGCATTATGGTAAGTAACTAAAATGTAATTCTTTCCAATCAAATAAAATTCTATTAATTCCAAATTCGTTGGGTTTAGCGGATCAGTACGATCCGCGCGCGAGCAATAGTTAAACTCCGGAATGTCTAACAAAATGTCGTTCTCAACAACCGTTCCGTTAGGATAAATGATTCTTAAAGAAAACTCTTCTAACGAACAAAGACCTATATTAGGAGGTTTATCAGGAATTCTTTTAATTCTTATGAGTCTTAATAATACTGTGCCATTATCGTACATCTTCATATTCCATATACGAGGTGTATTAAGGGTTCCTTCGTATTCCTTTGTTTCATTATGATAAAATTGTGCATTTATATATAAAGGATATACTGATATGATCACGAAAAGAAATAAAGTTATTAAGAAATTCGTTCGCATGTTTTTTTAATGATGTTGCAGCGTGTGAGAAGAATTATGTGAGGAAAAAAAAAAAAAAAAGGCTATTTACTGTCATACATTTTATTTAACCGGGATCTGCAATCCTATAACGCCGCACCACCGGGTTTCCTTTTTAGGAAAATGTTCGGACGTTTTTCTTTTGCCACCGGAGGTTACCTAAAAAGAATTTTTAAAAGCTCTCGAAAAGTTGGAAAATCGCCTTCGGGAAGTTTATCACAGTACAACTATATTCCAGAAAATCCAGAAAATTAAAAATGTAATATAATTGTTTTTTTAAGAGTTAATCCTTGTTTCTTTATTTACATTAACGATAATAATAAAAAAAATGAAACATGTGAAATTGTCAATAAAATTTCATTAAAACAAAACAGCCACATCGATTACAAGTTTTCGGGCTGTGTTAAATAAAGTTTTACTAAAATACATTTAAATATAAAAAGGTATTTTTTTTTTCCATCGTCCGAATCTCAACAAATATTTCAACGAAAAAAAAAAAAAAAATAAATCCTTAAAACTACATATTAATTTAAAATGAAACAATTTATAAACTTAATGTTTCTTCTCTTCCTCATTGCTGTTGCGGCAGCTTTGCAAACCAGTGATCAATCGTTGCCAAACGTTTTGGATAGAAGGACGGAACCTAAAAAGTGCCCTTGCGCTTTTGCAGGATCAATTTTTGATCCATTTGTAAAGGATGCCTCGAAAGGCCCCGCAAGGGGTTTTGTTTCTTATGCCCAAGATGAGCTTGGGTGCACCATCATCTCTGGACAGTTCAGCAAAGGCTTCGAGGATAAGAATGGCACTTTTCGAATAGTCGATAAATGTGATAACCTCCTTTTTGATATCTCAAAAGAATTGGATGTGAAATTCTCCGAGGATGGTGGCACCAAAGCTTTCAGTTATAAGTTTGATAATATCAACCTTAACTGTGATTCCAATGGTCTTCTTGTGGTCGAATGTAAAATTAAATCATACTACAAACGTCAAAGTGCAAGTGGTGCCTCTATGCAGGCTGGTAGTGGTTCTAGCGCCAATATTGATAGTTTGCCTTAACGCATAAGTTCCAAATTATCTCGAAGAAGATATTGACGGATTTCTGAATCATACATCACATTAAAAATATGATTTTATAATTGTAATTTCTTTTTCTACTTCAAAGTGTATGAAAATTATAAATTAGAACTATATTTTCTATATGTAAATATTTTTTTTATAATAAAATCTTATCAAATATCGTCTTATCAAATTCTCGTCATTTTCAATTGATTGGTCTCAATTGCGAGACTTTGCTCAAAATGTTATCTTGAAACGACGCGTTTCAACTTTTTACTATCAAAGAACTTGCGGATCCGAGTCATTTTTAATTATGATGACATGATTTGCGTCTCACAAACATCAAAAGATCTGTTTATTTATTCATCGATCTATTCGATCTTTTTCTTTTTTACTTTTAGTAAGATGTACTAGTGCTTATTCTTAATTCAACGGATACGTTTGTAAAATCTCACATAGAATCATCATACATAATCTTCTGTTTAATAGGATCTTACGTAGTCATGGGATTAAATTCACCGTTAAGGATGAAATATTTCAAGATGTTTTTGGAAATAAGTTGTGGGAATGATGAGAGCTTTAATTTAATTATTATCATTATAATTTTTTTTTTTTTTTAGTGAATAATTAACTATGCTAAAATTTTGTCATTTTTTCGCTAAAGTTTGAAAATTAAATATTGGCAGATTATTATTTTTTTTTTGGTTTTTTTTTTTTTTTTTTTCCATCGTATATTTTGTTTCAATGACACGCGTATATACGATAATTCATTTCGCGAGCTAACTAAGCATCACATTGCATCACATTCCATTTCCAAATATAACAACGCCACGTTTGTTTACATTTACCAATAGTTTGCATTGTACATTATCAAAAAAAAACCCTAGTTTGTGCCAATCGAAGCAACTAAAAAAGATTTATGGAAAACGGTTTAAACCGAATTTAAAAAACAGATTGATACATCCGGTTCCAATTGATCGTGTAAATCGTGTAATGAAGTAAATAAATAAAAATAAAAATAAATCATAAACATCAAAATCTTTACTGTTTTTGATTGTTTTATTGTGTTTCAATTCCTTTTCTAATCATTTAATAATTTGAAAATCATACATACATACACATACATACATATTTATTTTTATGGGCGTTTTTACCCATCCATACATATATATATAGTTCTATATTTGTTCTATTTTTAAAAAATCAGTCATGATAAATGCTATGTTTACTTCTCCCTAATGAAAAGATTTCATTGACACTGATACTCAACAAATATTGTTGGTAATAAAGATTTAATTACGATGGATATCGTAGGAACAAAAATAGTAGCACATAAAGCATTTAACCAAATGAAAATAAAATTCATGGTATTGATCCTGCATATATCATGATTCATTGGTATGACATAGTTAAAATCTGCTGGAACCCGGTTATATAGTTGATTTATCACGAGGTGCGTATTAACAGCTTACAAAAAAAAAAAAAATAAAAACAAATCAGTATAATGCGTTTTAAAATAAAAAAAAAAGAAAAGCTCTTCAATAAAATTTCATCATACCGGCAAGAACAATCCAAGCAGGAAATACAACGAAACTAAAATGTGATAAAAATATTAATTCCCAAAAAAAAAAAAAAAAAAATTTGGTTTTTGCATTGCATTGATTAGTTACATACATGTTAACAAACAATAGAATGGTATATATGATTTCGATGCGTCTAATCTGCTCGTATGTTGAAAGTTGTTGATGAATAACACGAAATAGATCAAGATTGACCACTAACAATAAAAAATTTCGTTGTTTATCATCAATACGGCGTCAAAACTTGTAAAGAAAGAAAAAAAAAAGATTAACTCACATTCAACTAAATTCGTGAAAAATAATAACACAAGATATCTAAAAATATAAAAAAAGAAATTCAGCCGAACCGAAAATAATTAGGATCATGATCTTGTCTAATAAAAACTTACAAGGGTTGAAGTTTATATTGGCTTTTATAAAACAAGAATTCATATTTCAAAAATGCTTAAAGAAAAGAACGAGTTTAAAAGGAATATTTTTTGATTAGTGTGAAAAAAAAAAAAAGAACAATTGAAAATTCGAATAAAAATTGCTTACCTAGAAAGATACACGCGTACATTAATAAACACCAAAATGTCGCCACCGTGTATATAAATCTTTTGAAAAAATTTAAGCGACCGTTAATAAAGCTATTCAATTTAGAATGAAAAGGAATGTTCATTTTTTTTTTTTCGATTTATTTTTATTTTTATTTTTTTTTTTTTTTACAAATAGATTATTAAGTTCTTCCTTTTTCTTATATAACTAGTTTATTCACAAAAAAAAACGAAAATGATACTTCCTTTTCTTTTTATAACTAGTTTATTCATTTTAGCAAAACACGGATTCGTAATTATGTCACTTAAGCCAATGCAGTTACACATTTCATTGAGTCAAATAAAAATTTTTTATGATAATAGAATTTGTGTTTGGTTTTCATCCCGGATAGGGAATTTCAATGAACAAATATGCTTTAATTACATTTCCCTGACGTTACCATTAACTACCCAAGTATTCAATTTTTTAGGTACACGACTCGATAGGATTTTTTACAGATCATTGATACAAACGAAGTTTGCTCGCCCCCCAAAACCATAATATTTCTAAATTCGAACAAGCTTTAAA